CTGTTATGTGACTAAACGCGCTGATTCTAAAAAATGAGCCTTGAACCACAATGGGAAGAGCAACAGAAGGTGAGCCCCCTAGCGGCAGAGTAGGAGCATTGCATAGAGCTGCGGAATACGGAATTACTAGATCAAATCCAAGAGACCAAATCAGGGTCTGTTTTTGTCTTTTTCATTTTATTTTGGTACTGTGATATATTTTTTTTGTGGTCGTGGCTGCCCTCTTATTTTTTCTAAAACAATGATTTATATTACGTTGTGATCTGAGACAGTACAATCCAAGAAGGCTCAGAACAACAGTAAAACAAAAATTAACATACAGTACGAAGAAACCAATTAACGTGAGTCCGGATTCAGCCTTTAGAACCGAGTCATTAAGAAATCGATCTGACCTGAGAATTCGGTTTGTTTCGTTTTGCATTGATAACTTTTTATGTTCATTAATTAATTGCTTACACTTTTATAGCGCTTTTCTGGACACTCCACTCAAAGCACTTTACAGGTAATGGGGATCCCCTCCACCACCCCCAGTTTGCAGCCCCACCTGGATGATGCGACGGCAGCCATAGGGCGCCAGAACGCTCCCCACACACCAGCTCTCAGTGGGGAGGAGAGCAGAGTGATGAAGCCAGTTCAGAGAGGGGGATTATTAGGAGGCCATGACTGGTAAGGGCCCATGGGAAATTTGGCCAGGACACCAGGGTAACACCCCTACTCTTTTCGAGAAACGCCCTGGGATTTTTAATGACCACAGAGAGTCAGGACTTCGGTTTTATCCTCGGTCTCATCCGAAGGACGCAAGGATGTTGAAGGAATGCCTGAAATTCTTTCTACGCGTTCCTCCTGCAGCACACGAGCTCGGTGTGCCTCCGAAGGCACGGGCCGTCCCCCTCGCCGACAGGCTCTCCAGGGGACTCACAGCGCTCACAGCGCCCGTCCGAGAACGCACCGCTGCATCCTTCTCTTCCGAGGACAGCAGTCCATCACAGAGCCTCGGAGTGTCGCGCGGAGGTGGGAGGAAACCGAGGCACTTCGCAAAAACCCTTGCAAACCCCAGAGAGCATGCAAACTCCATGCAGAAGGATATCTAACACTGGACTCAAACCCGGAACCCTGGAGCTATGCCACAGCAGCGCTAAAGTTTAAAGTTTTTTTTTTTTAAGTTTAAAAGAACTGTGTGAGTTACTGCCACTAGGTACTTCAGAATCCATCACCAGATCTCAGTCTGGCGTGTTTAACATTTCTGCGGTATTGCATCAGGCTGATGAAATCATCTTATTTTCCTAGGAGCACGGAACTGTGGAGCCATTGTCATGAGCTAAACCCGTGAAAAGCTAAAAAAAATCACAACCACATACTGGATGAGTGCAAAAATCCCTTTATATGGCAAGCTATAATCTTTCAGAAAGTAAATACACATGGTATTTATTTGGCTATAAACTCACATGGTCATCTCAGGAATGCGTTAAGGCAAGAGTCTTACCCTGTTGCATTCCAGTGTGGTAGACATCTAGGCTCTCATAAATAATTCAGTTCCGTGTACCTGCTGGTTGCCTTCTTAACAGATCCAAGAACTCATACTGAGGACAGCACTTAATTAGAGCCCTCTGTCTTTATCTCCGAGAGATTCCATTCCCCTGAGAGACTGCCCGCACTGCTCTGAGCGGTAACCTGCCCCATTTCCACAGGCCTGTTACTCGGAAACTTGGGAGAGGTGGTGAGCAGTTATGTTGAAAACCCAAGCTAGGTCATCATGCCCCCCTCTTTATCGCCTGAGGTCTCACGCTGGCTCTCAGTACTTCACCTGCATTCAGAGGAGCTCAGCACTCAGGAGAAATCAGCAGTGGGAGTTGAGTGCAGTTTGAGATCGTACTGTACAGCAGCACTGGGGTGCCTGCCTGAGTGCCTGAGTAGCTCAACTCTGACGTTCTTTCAAGTGTTTTGTACTCTAAAGTACAAGATATGATCAACTGATCAGGCCTGGCCGTCTGCGAAGGGGCGATAACTGCTTCTGGAAACACTATGGTCTCCCAGGGTGGAATTCTGCCCACGTCCGTCTGTGGTGTACTGGAAGAACTGAGCAATGCATACTGGGAGATGGTCCGTCCAGTCCCGCAGCCTGTGGGATTGCAAGGTGGCCATGAAGGTCAGAGTGTCTCGGCTGTTTCATTGCCGGACTGGCCTGAAACCCGGTCATGGAACCCAGCAGTGTCAAAGCACTGCACAGCCCTCCTCACAGGCCAGCTGCTCTTCCCCACATTCCCTCAAAGCCTTTTGGGATGTTTGCTTCCTTGTTGAATTTTTTTGTATTTTTCTTTTACAATGAAAACCCTTTTCCTTCCACTCTGTTAAGTTCTGAGTTTGCCATTTGAAGCACGAGAGATTTCTTCCTGCGTTCACAGGGGTTTCCTCCAGGTGCTCTGGTATCCTCTCCCCGTCCAAAGACACGCTGTTTCTTAAATAAAAAATAAACTTCATTTCAAACACTGTATTCAGTCCTTGCAAACAATTCAAACCAAAATATAAAATGTCTAAAACAGGTGACTGTCTATTATCAGTCCTTTCAGAAAGCAGTCATTGAGGCCGGATTCACACAACAAAGACATGCTGGTGGGCTGCACTGGCTTCTGTGAAAACTGGCCCTGGTGTGAGTGTGAGTGTGTGTGTGACAGTGTGAGTGTGAGAGTACGAGTGTGTGTGTGAGAGTGTGAGTGTGAGAGTACGAGTGTGTGTGAGAGTGTGTGTGTGTGTGAGAGT